AAAAAAAAAAATTACGTCACAGTTTTTTTATCAGTCACAAATCACAAGTATTATAAGTCACAACTTATTAGACAATTACAAAGTATCAAATTACATATTAATAATTTTTTAAGTCACACATTATTTCTTGATCACAAATTATCTTTTCATTGGTCACATATTGTTTATTAGTCACAAATTAATCAATTTAATTGTCACAATCAACCAAATAATCTGTGATCACCACCAACACTTCTGACTACCGCCACAAACATAATGGCAGCTGAAACCACCGTCACCTAAACCATCACCACCACCTACCGACGACAAACCATCGTCTCAAATATCATGACCATTAAATTTGGGTCGGGCTTGGTATATAGAATGGGGATGACCAATTTTTTGTCCTATTTAACACCAGAGAAAGTTATTAGTTCCTTTTTAATTATATTTCGAATATTTAAATATATTTATGTAAGTTGCTCTCCTTTAATGTCTAAGTAGTCCTTCATGACTAAAGTCCAGGATAGATTTTTTAATTTTAGTATTTGATAGCCGACTTGAGCTCTTTAGTTCGGTTTCAAGAACCTTGCCTTAAACGGGTGTAGACTTATCAGGTTTGGTCACTAGCACAAAGTCAGATACTCAAGCTCGACAATTCTTATTGGCAATCGTGACTTTTTGAGCTCATCTATATGATCTAAGACCGATCTCGTATGTCGATAAAGACTTATTAATCCAAGTTTATTTTAAACAATTTGTTAATTCATCTTCTGTCAAGTCACTATGCAGAATCAGTGTACAACTCGTCAGTCTTGAATGTGATATTGATGTAAATACGTGGAATTATGATTGACGATTTGGTTATATACGATCTATCTCAAAGAATAACATCATCATGTGAAAGTGATTAGACACGCTCCACTAATTCATAGGAAGATAAAAAGGATCATTGAAATTAGACAATTGTTACAAGTCCCTTTCCATAAAACAATTATCAGTAGGTAGAAATGATGGAGATTGAAAAGGAACCATAGTAGGGCATGTGAAAGATGGACACTATCGGGACTGGATGTTTTACTCATCAAATCGTGAAATTGGACCGATTGATAGTGGCACGCATCGATTCGGGCGATTCCTTGACTTGAAGCGTCGATTTTCAGGTTAATCAGACCTCAATCAATAAATTTCGATTTAATATTTTTTTTTAAAAAAAAATAAAGATTTTACGGGCATTTTACCCTTGAAATCGACCAAACCGATATATATGTTGAAATTGATGGATGTCATCACGTTAATCGTTCCTACTTTGACACAATGCATCACAACAACCAAAATTGGGCCATGAGTAGCCATCAATGTTGACAATAACACATAATGTATTTATCTTTGTTTATTATGTCACCAATCCCTATTTTAGGACTCCTCTTTTTATCTTCTACGAAAAGCGTATACCATTTTGTCTTGTATCCACTCTTTTTAAAGGCAATGGAAAATATTTAAAAAAAATTATTTTATTTTGAATATCTTTACATTTTTTTTTAAATTTGAAAAGTTTATCTTAAAAGTATTCCTTTTGTTGTTTATTGAGAGTATATATGCTACCAACAACTGAAAAACTTTGTACCGACCAATGTCTACCACCGATAGTGCCATTAGTAAAGTGAAATTCTCCATACCAACACACCCATAAACATCCTTTTCTACCTATCAACAAAGCTTAAGGGTGCGTTTGATTGCAAGGGTGGAAAATGGATGGAAAGAAAATATTTTATAGGGCAAAGATATTTTTAGAAAATGTTTTACTGTGAATTGTAATTAAGTGTGTTTGATTGGTATAATTTTCCATCTGGAAAATTTTTAAAAGTTTTGAATTTTTTTTGTTCATGTTTGACTTTATTTTACATGAAAATTGTCCATTAAAAATGAATTTTTTTTTACAATT